TCTGCCTGCTGCCTGTGGATCAGGGTGTGAAGCTCTCAGCCACTGCTCAGTGCCATCCATAGTCAGCTTCCTGCCATGACAACAAGGGCCTAACGTCTAAAACTGTAATCCTCCAATTAAATACTTAAAGTAAGAGTTGCCTTGGTCATGGTGTCTCTAACAGCAGTAGACCAGTGACTAAACTCAATGTGGAAAGAACAGCGTTTTAACACTGATTCTACAATTATTATTATTCTAGAAACACGGGAGTGGGGGGGGGATCTTGACCTTAGCCTGAGCTATACAAACAACAACCTGATGCTAAACACACCAGAAACATAAGACCTATAAATATAAAGTTTCTGGGTTTGCTTCTTTGTGGATATGGTGGTTTGCCGGTGCGTATGTTTGTATAGCAGGTGCTAACAGTGCCGCGGGCACCACATCAGATCACCTGATACCCAAGGTTGACAGCCGCCGTGTGGGTGCTGAGAACTGAACCAAGGTCCTCTGGAAGAGCAGCCAGTGCTCTTAACTGCTGAGCCACCTCCCCAGCCCCATAAACACTTTCTAAAACAACACAAATGTCAGACAGCACGTGTTGGAGTTTCTTAGCTGAAATCTTAGCAAAAGCTTCCTGGCTGGTTATGCAGTTAATCTCTCAAGCATTTTTAGGACTAAATTTCTTGGTTTTTGATTGTTGAGGCACAGTCTTGTTTTTCAACCCTGGCTGTCCTGGAACTCACTAGAAATGATCTCAAACTGCCAGTGACTGTCCTACTCTACCTCCCTGGCCCTGGAGTTAGAGTATGTGACCACACTTGGCATTAACGACTACCAAAACGTCTAACAGCACCTGACACCACACTGCCGAGCTAACCGGATGACGAGGGCACGTGGTGTTGCTGAGAAACGAGAGGTGCTAGAGTGAGCTGTGGCACTGAGGGCAAACGCAGCTGGCACAGGAACTGTCAACACTTGTGAGCCTTTTCTCCTCAAATCTCCAGAGCTGAAGAGAAGCAGGTGTCTGAGTGGCAGGGTCTAAATCAGTCAGATGCCACTCTTGAAAGACAAGCTTGAGTTTTTGCTTCCACCTTTGTGAGAAGAGGCTCATACGGGCCACTCTCCAAGCATACGAAAATGGTTCATGAGACACCAAGTAACCACTAACACAACTAACACTCACTAAAAACACCACAAATGGAGCATTACCAGGAAAGGACATTTCAAAAAATCACTGGGTACATTCTTTAGCTGAGATGAACATGATTCAAAACTGAACCACTAACATGTTCTCGTTTCATACATTCATTTTTAAAAGGTGCTTATGCAGTAACAGGGAGAAAAAATACAAACGCCAAGCACCACACACAGGGCTAGAATAGAGCGCCATGGCAGAGCACATCAGGAACAAGACCCCAGCATCACAAAGAAACAGACCGAGTACAAATGCACACCAGAAGGCGGCCCGCCACCAAGGGCTTAGTAAACGGCAATAACAAAGGCCACTTCATATTGAGAGAGCAGGAACACGGAGTAATTACTGAACATCCTTTCCCAAAACTTCAGAAACCATTGCAAATGAACACACTAACAGACAAGAATGCAGTCTGCGTGTGTGTGAAAACACTGGTTTAGATCAAATAAGAACTTTTGAGACGAAGCAGATCACAGTCATATAAGAGTGAGGCCGTGGTTTCAGTAATCGCAGAAAGGGGCCTTGGATTTCTGATTAGGGGATCTGGTCCTGCACAGAAGCAGCCGCTCACCAACGAGACTGCAGGCAGTGCTTCCTAAGTCAGCTTCATTGTGGTGAGCTGAAGCTAGCCTTTGACCTGGTTCTACATACCTCTAAATTCAGTCTGGCAGTCAACATGTCAAGAAAACGAACCCAAATCCGCATGGTCTACAAGTCTACTCCCCTCTTCTACCCCCGACAGGGTTTCTCTGTGGAGTGACTCTAGCTGTCCCATAACTCACCTTGAGACCTGTCTGCCTCTGCCTACGGGAGTGTGTGTGTTGGGATCAGAGGCCTGCGACACCACACCAGGTTGTTCACCTGTCTACTCCTAAACCCACAACTACGACATGGAGTCAGTCCCCTGGCACATACTCGGTGGCTGAAGCCACTCTCTCAGGCCTGTGGAGTTACATCTCGCTAACCCTATCACACTCGTGACGACACGGGCAGGACAACAGTAGTCTTTTCCACAGGGAGAATTAAGATGTGTGGAACTGGGTGCAGAGTGCCATCCCAGGGGACATCCTAGAGGGTGGGCTCTGTCCCGACTCCCACCCAGCCCTCAGAGTTTAGTTAGCACTCCATAAGGATTTCCACCAGCCTCTCCAGAAGCAAACCCATCCTCTGCAGTCCCTCAAGAAAGGGAATGAGCCACCACTCCCTTCCCACTCCCTCCTTATCCTGTCCTAAGCCAACAGGTTGAGTGACGTCACTTAACCTTTCTCTTGCGTGAGAGACATCTTGCCTGTTTTCATCTGGGTGACTGTCTATGAGCTGAGGGAAAGAAAGATCCTTGGTCTGATAAGATTCTGCATCAGGAGAGCTACACTCTCTAGAGCACTATGTGAGGCTGCCTGTGGCAACGTCTCCAGGCCCAGAAGTGCCCGTCTGTGTCACACGGCTCTGCTGCGGACTCGCACAGCCGATCTCTCGGAGCTTGAGGCTCAGCTGTGAAACACGCACCAACCACTCACTTCTTACACAGATGCGTTTTATTCAACTCTTCTTTTCAGGGTGTTTATGTTTAACTGTGTGTATGTGGGGGGCAGCAGGAGGTAGACTCCCTGGAGTCACAGGCAGTTGTGAACTGAACTCTGGTCCCCTGCAAAAGCAGTGTGGCCTCTTAAAGGCCAAGTCATCCCTACAGCCCCAGCAATCTTCCTAAAGCTGTAAATCCTATTTTATCATTATTGTGTAACTCTACATCTCTCTTTTTTTTTCCATGCCCCATTCCTGATCCCTGTCCTACAATATTATCTACTCTCAGCAAGGGACAACATCAGCTACACTAGAGTGATATAAAGTACCTTCCAGAAGGAAACTGTTATACAACATTTAAATAAAGTTCCTATTGTAACTTTATATTTTAGAGGCAAAAAGATCTATAGCTTGTTAAGATTAAAAACCAAAAAAACAAAACAAAAAACCCCCAGCTCAACATCACATCAACTTTTGTTTGAAGAGTAGATACTCAATTCGGATGTTGGGACTTTTTCTTTTTTTTGTACATCAGAAGAAAGTGTAAAGACTTTCTTTAAGAACCTAAGAACAGCCGGGCGTTGGTGGCCCACACCTTTAATCCCAGCACTGTGGAGGCAGAGGCAGGCAGATCTCTGTGAGCTCAAAGCCACCCTGGTCTACAGAGTTCCAGGACAGCCTCCAAAACAATATAGAGAAACTTTGTCTCGAACCCCCCCCCCCCAAAAAAACAACAACAACAACAAAAAACTAAGAACGATATGCCTGGTGCGGTGGCACGCTCCTTTAGTCCCAGCACTTGGGAGGCAGAGGAACAGGTGGATTTCTGAGTTCAAGGTCAGCCAGGCCTACAAAGCGAGCTCCAGGACAGCCAGGGTTACACGGAGAAAGTGTGCCTCCGGAAAAAGAAGACTATAGGAACGGGCCACTGATGTCATCACGAGTAAAGTGCTTGGCGCTGAATAAACCCAGGTATGACGGTGAACGCCTGTAATTCCAGGCCTTGGGAAGTTGAGGAACGAGGATCAAAGCTAAGTTATCCTTGGCTGAACAGGCATGGTCACAGCACCGAGCTGCAAAGGGACTGGAGTGGACTTGAAGACAGGTCCTTACGACAAACTTAACTAGTCCAGTCCCCAACAGTTAGGCCAGAAGCACAGATCAGCTGTAAAAATCTTTCCGTACACCGAAACAAGGGCTTCACGTTAACACTTGAGCTCCTTGTGGATATCTATCTGCCCCTGCCTCCCTTATCCTTGTCCAGACACAAAGGAGCACCTCTTCAGCGCTCCTAAACGCGCGTTTTGCACACCACTGTCATTTAGGGTTTGCAACAGTGCTGTCAGTTCAGCCTCCTGCGTCCGCCGTGCAGGCAGAGCGAGGCTGGACGATAATAAAGTCGCTTCCCACAATCTCATTAGCAGAACTGGAATTTTAACTCCTACCCCCAAAGTTTCTTCCCTTAGCTAACTCGTGGAGCTAACTGGTCGGCAGAGAGCCAGTGCCCCAAGCCGGCTTCTCAGATGTTCTCAGGCGTAGGGAGCCCGTTTTAGGGGGTCGCAGTTGGCCGTCACACCAAACAAGTCGCTGCAAAATGCTCGCGAAGTCATTTTGATGGAGACCTCACCTCCACCGAACGTTTCGGAGAGAAAACAATCTCAAGGTTCATTGCTTTTAGAAACGATCTCATTTGCTGTCCGGGAGACCGGGAGACCGGGAGACCGGGAGACCCGCTCCCCCCAGGTGCGCTTGCTCCCAGGCTGACGACGACGCAGGCGCCGAGGCGGCCGCTCCGGCTGCCGCCACAAGGTGGCGCCCCCTCCCTTCCTTCCCCGCCCGCGCCTGGCGCTACCTTTGTCCAGCTCCATGAGGGCGGAGTTGGCGTCCAGCTCCTGTTCGCCGTAGCCGGCATCGGCCAGAAAAGACTTGTTTGAGTTCGACGCCATGGCCCGAACAGCTACCGGACTCGCCTAGTCACGAAGCTCGCAAACGTCCCCGAGCGCCGCCATCTTCCCCCTCGCCGCGCCGTCTCGCGGATTTTTGTTCCCCCCCCCCACCCTTGCGCGCGCGGTCAGGCGGTGTACGCATGCGTCCCGGGCCCTCCCCGCCCCTTTTTCCCCACCCCCACCCCCGCCCTCCCGCGCAGGCGCTCAGGGAGCTCTATGGGCCCTCGGGTTCCCGCGGTTGAGCGCTGGGGGGGCGGGGCCTCGGCGGGGGCAGCTCCTCCCAGGCGCCAGGCCGCGGCGGCGAGAGCCAATCAGCGCGCGTGACGTCAGTTTGGCGCGGAGTTTGGCGGCCGGGGCTTGCAGTGGCGGGAGTCTGGAGGCGAGCGAGCGGGGCGGCGTTGTCGGAAGGGGGCCGAGCTGCGGCTCCGTGTGGCACTTGGGGGGCGATCTCCTCGGCGTTTCCCTCGGCGCAGGCCTCCTGCTCTCCCTCCTCCTCCTCCTCCTCCTCGGGCCCAGATGCTCTTCAACTCGGTGCTCCGCCAGCCCCAGCTCGGCGTGCTGAGGAACGGTGAGTAACGGTCCTAACGGCCGCCCGCCGCGGCGGGAACCACTTCCCCGCGGCGCTCCGGGCCTCGGATGGCCGCCGACTCCGGGCCTCGGGGGGTGGGGTCGGGGGTGGGGGGTCTCCCGCGGCCGGGCAGAGTCCCGGCGAGCGAGGAGCGTGGCGCTTTGGTCCCCTGCGGGCGCCTTTCCCGCCGCCGCCGAGCTTTGTGCAATGGGCACGGAGGCCGAAGCGAGAGGGAGGACGGGGGCTCGCAGGCCCCTGGCCGGCTGCTGACGTCACCGCCGCGCGCTCGCCGGGGAAAGCGCGCTGGCGGGGGACGGGGGGCGAGCTCCGGGCCCCGGGACTCTTCTCTCCTCCCCCCCCACGCTCCCACCCCACCCCGAGAGAACCTCTGCGAGCCTCGCGCTCGAGGAAGCCAGTCGGGCGGAGAGGACGCGCGACGTGTGCTCTTCCAGCGCCCGTGCCCTCCCCTCCTCCCCCCCTCCTCCCTCCCCCCACCCGCATCTGCACGGGGGTCTGAAAAGTTGTCGCGCGCGGGCTGAAACTTGCCCCCGCAGCCACACCCACGAGGCGGCCCGCGGGTGGTAAGCAGATGGAAGGGTATTGTTCCAGATGTAGTTTTTTGGTGCCCGAGGCGTATCCAGAAATGGGTTGTCGGTTGGTTTGTTTTGTTTTGTTTTCCCCTCCGCGGTGGGATTCGGCCATATTCTTCGTGGTAGCGTATAGAGAGTCGGCTCGCCCCTACGGTTCTCGTACAGAACACCCGCCGGCAGTCGGGGACGAGGTTGGGTGTATGTGCCGCTGAGCCAAGTCTTCCAAGAGTAGGCCTGCTCCCACCTAAAAAGTTTGCGCTTGTGGTTAGCGCTCTGCCGCTTTCTTTCTTCCCAGAACTTCACACGAGTCACTCCTTCCCGTGTCGGGAATGGCCGCCCTCCACAAGGGTTGTGAGCCCTCTTGAGAGCGCTTGAGTTCGGATCCCACCTCCTTTTTATGGGGCCGAGGCAGGCTGTTCAGACTTTCTGTGTTTGACATTCTGTCTGTCTGTCTGTCTGTCTGTCTGTCTGTCTGTCCACCTTTCAACCTCTCTTCTGTTGGCAGATGCTCGTTGGGTCATAGGTGGTGGAATTCATTTACTGTAACCTCCCGAAGTGAGTGCGTCTCGGTTCCCTTGCAGTGCTGCAGCCACACTTGAGTGACTACAGCCATGACTCGGATCCTACTGCTGCCCGCGCTCGTCCATTCCCTGTGTCTCAGATGAGCTTCTGTGAAAGCTTTGTGGGTTGGGCTTCACCCAGTCAGGCATCCGAGCATCTAAAATTCTAATGCCCCAAGCTTTTCCCCCAAACCGGTTATCCTCTTTGGGCAGTAATATTTTAGACTGTGTCCCCAGCCAAAGTCTCAAGAGTCACTCAAAGACTCGTTTTCCTCTTATTACCTGTTGAGAGTCCCTCAAGCATGCTTGCAACCACCTCCCTTTCTTTCCCTTTCCACCCTCCTGATGGAGCCTCTTCCCCGCCTGCTGAGCTTCCATCGCCCTGGACTGCACCCTGATGCTTTGCGCTCTGGATCACAGTGAGCCTCCGAAATGCTCCTAACCTTTCACTATGTGTGACACTACAAACACTGTAACACTTGGTAGTTATGATCTATTAAATGTGAGTAGACCTTTAGCTACATGGTTACATTTTCTTCTAAATTTATTTCTGTCTTACTTTCCTCCCCAATTTATCCTATTGTAATTTAATGTATCCTTGAAAAGTTCTTAACCACCCTGTCATCATGCCCCATCAAAAAGTGTAAATTGCTGTTTTCTGTGGTTTTAATGCTGTGGCTCCTAAAAGTTTCCCTTGGGATGAATTATCACCATAAATATGAATAGTGGGCTGTTGTTAGAAGCTAAATGACATTTCATAATGCTTTAGGCAAAAGGCAAATTTTTATTGAAAAATGCATCTTTTAAAGAAATGGATTTAAGCCAGGCATTGGTGGCGCACACCTTTAATGCCAGCACTCGGGAGGCAGAGGCAGGTGGATCTCTGTGAGTTCGAGGCCAGCTTGGTCTACAGATCGAGTTCCAGGACAGCCTCCAAAACAATACAAAGAAACCCTGTCTCGAGAAACCAAAAAGAAAAATGGATTTAGGTATCTGATGCCTTATGATCTCAACTGTCTCATAATTAAGGACACAAATTTTTAATCAAAATATATAATGGACACCTACAAATTTATCTTTTGACAATGAAGGTGTAGATGTGGATTTGAGAATATCTTTTATAAAAGTAGAAAAAAGGAAGTGTGGAAGGTGACAGGAAAGGGAACCCCTTAGCCCTCTCAGACCGCAGCTTCAGAAATAATGCTGTGTGGAAGTTGTAGAATGTCAAGGTATTGATCCTCTGAAAACAAACAAAAACAGCCGTATTTCTTGTGAGTATGGGCTGTTAACTTTCTGCTGAAGAAAAAATGGACTTTTCCAGATGAGTGAGTGTTGGGTCTGGGGAATACTACAGGTTCATATTTGTAGCACAGTAAAGATCCAAAAGTGTGTTGTGGGGAGTTGCAGAAGTCTGGAGTAAACCTCAGGGAGTCCCTTTAAACACTTCAGTTTGAGGATTAGCTGCAGGTAAAGGTGCAGCATCCAGGAATTGGCTTAATGGAGAAATTTTCCCAGAGCGTTTCGTGTCTTCAGTTTTACTTATTTGATTCCCCTTTGAGTTTGTGTGTTGAGCCACTAAATTTGTAAAATCCCACAACACACACGTGTGTACATTAACATTTTTTAGCTGTTGCCTTTTGTTTTCCAGTGTACTCTTTTAGGTGGGCATTTATGAACCTAACATTCTTTTAGTGGTCTTTCACAGAGTTTTTACTACGATATTTGGTATTAACATTACGAAGCAATGACCCCATGAGTAGCTATTAAATCTAGTTTTAAGTTCCTTTTCCCCTTTCTGCTCATTCCTTCTCAAATTAGATTTGACCGAGGATCTGCCAGGCTAAAATGCCTTCTGTCAGCGAGGTTCCCTTTCTCGTCATCTGTCATTTCTACTCTGCTGAAGGAAGCATTCTTTAGTCTCCTTGGACCTCTTGTGTCTCAAGGTTTACGTACTTTTAAATAAAGAGAATGTGAGAATTGGCAGTGCCCTGAGACGGGAGTTTACACTTGCAGTCGCTCATGGCTCCTTCACTTCCTTGGTCGTCAGCGTCTCTTATGAGGCTGGGCGTGCTAACCTGAAATCATCTGAAGAGTGGTGGGCCCGCCTTCAATCTCCATAGCACTGAAAGCAGGAGAACCTGGCCCACCCCTCACTCATTGCTGCAGGGGTGAATTAGCAGGGCAATGCTGGAGAGCTCGCCCTGGTGGTGAGGACAGAGGAGAACCGGTAGGCAGATGAGCCCTGCAGCTGCCCAGGCCCAGACCCAGGGTTGTGACCCAGCACCCACTAAATCTATGACCTGCTGCGCTGGAGCTCCTGAAGGGACCTGGCCTGCAGACCCAAAGCTGCAGGATCTCCACAACACAGGGCAACAACAGGACATCCTGGAGGAGTCCTCGGGAGGGCCCAGTGTCGATAGCGCAGTAAAACCAGACCAGGGTTTACAGTGTGACTCCTGCTGTACCACACTGCAACTTCCATGACGATATTTTTAAGTTTTTCCTTTTTTCTCTTAAATTTTGTTTTATTTGGGGGGCATTGCAGGGGCGAAGGAAGGGCGCGAAGGGACATGGATATGAATGGGATCAAGATGTGTGATGTGAATAAATAAAAAGAAAGTTAGAAAAGGTTCATAAACTAGTCACAGAACCAAAAGCAAAGAATATTCAACCTTTGTGCATTTAAAATGAGCCAACCTACCTGGTAATATAAACCAAATTGTGGATGATGACTTACTGTTAGGACCATGTACATTAGGAACTTTATTTCTGATGAAATGAAAATTTAGTCTTAAGCCGTTCTATGAAGCCTCTGTGACCTTACTCTTGGGCACACCACTTTTAAGTCATTCTCATATTTGTTAAGATGCTTTCATGGGTTCCTGTTAGAATTGTAGGATCCTAGAATTTCAGCACACTTAGGGAAAAGGAACTCAAATTATTAGTCAATCTGGTACTAACTACAATAGGCAGGTTGATACAGTAACCCTTTGTATGCTGATTGTATATAATGATTGTTATTTACTTGAGTTTCTCATTAGAGATTCCCAAAATGAACTGTCACGGAAGGGAGTAACAGTTTAATTGGTAATGCATTAGTGGCTGTTTCTTTGCTAGAAGAGTCAGATCTCTTGAATGTACAAGGTGCTGGTCATATACACTAGTTTTCTACATTTAAGGTGGTAAAACCCAAGCTGGGTATGGTGGCCCACGCCTTTAATCCCAACACTTGGGAGTTAGAAGCAGATGACTTCAAGGCCAGCCTGGGCTACATAATGAGTTCAGTGACAGCCAGAGCTCTATATAAGGAACCTATATATATCTCCATCCCAGTGTTCTCAACATATGTTGGGAGTGCGCTTTGATTTCTTCCTAAGAACAGCTTAAGAAAATACCAGAAATGGTGTTCTGGAGAGCTATAGATAGTGAGTTAAATATGTAAAGTTCTATATGAACAAATATTTAGCCAGGTGTGTGGTAGCTCTCACCGATTATCCCCATCATTTGGGAGGCAGAAACAGGATCATTGCAACTTCCATGCCTCAAAATACTAGCAACAAAAAATGAAAATGCTAAAACGTTTACACTTTTAATTCTCAAAGGAATTGTCTTGTTTTAGGGTGGTCTTCTCATTACCCTCTGCAATCCCTTCTAAGTGGTTATCAGTGCAACGGTAATGACGAGCATACATCTTATGGAGAAACAGGAGTCCCTGTTCCTCCTTTTGGATGCACTTTCTGTACAGGTAAGAGAATGACTACACTAAGCTTGAACAGAACTTTATTTCCTACTTAGAGGGAAAATACACTTTGAAAGAAAAGTAACTTGGGTAGATGTTAAAATTATTCTAATTCTTCTGTGAGTTACAAGGTAGATGTTTTTGGAATTAGGGATTTGGTTTTATTTTTAACAGTTATTTTTTTAAAATGTGAACAGAAATAGAAGTTCTTGACTCGAGTCTTACGGTTTAATAGAAGAAATATTATAAAAGGGAAGCTTAGAACCAACAGGCTAGATCAGCTGCTGGTCTGTGTCTTGCTTTTCTTTGCCATTGGTTGGCCAGTACTACTCTTGATTTAGCCTTTCCCAGGTCAGAGTATCTGAAGACAATTTGATGGTTTGGGGTCTTTATGTGTATGGGTATGTGTGTGTGTACCACAGAAGTCAGAAAAAAAGACCTGAGGTCCCTGGGAACTGGAGGTACAGACGATTGTACCTTGCCATGTGGGCGTGGGAATGAAACTCCAGACTCCTGTCAGAGCAACAAATGCTCTTGACCTCTGAGCCACCTCCAGCCCTGTTTGCAGTCATTTACTACCTTTGTGCTCATTCGAAACTCTTGATGTTCTGTGTTTGTACCCAGCTCCCACTATGGAGCATATATTAGCAGTTGCCAATGAAGAAGGCTTCGTCAGATTGTATAACACAGAATCACAAACCAGCAGAAAGACATGCTTCAAGGGTGAGTCTGTGCTTTGTAACATTTTAATTTATAAAGCCTTTGGTAAATTCTAGCTTAATACAGACATAGTAGTGACATAGGACACAGTATTAAGGTGGTGGTCCAGCTTGAATAATGGCGCACAGTGAGCAGTAAGCTCCTCCACAGAATAGGGTCAGAGCATGCAGGACTACAGTCAAAGCATATCAGACAGAGTTATTTCCTTGTTGGAACCTAAGGCTTTAGACCTAGAGAATGTCTCAAGAAGATTTTAGTTTAGAGAAAGTTTTACCAATTCATTTCAGGGAAGGGCTTTGGGTAGATGCGTGTGTGTGCATGTGGAGGCCAGAGGTTGGTGCTATGTGTTTTCCTGTATCGAGCTCTGCCCTACTCACTTTGTGAGACAAGAGCTCACGGAGCTCATTAATTTCATCGAACCAGGTGCTTTACGAACACCCATGAAGTCAGGTCCTCCTGCTGGTGCAGCAGGTACTTCTCCCAGCCCTCAGTTGGCTTTGGATGGTGGCTCTCACATGTGTCCTGGAGATGGGTGGTGTCTATGACTCACCCCATAATGCTCTTGGCCCGTTGACAATAGACTGCTAGCCACCTTTTTATAGTTAAGAACTTGAAGGTGTTTAAACTTCTGCTGGTATGACTGTCATAGGACATACCTGGATATGTAACACTCACACTGTCTTTGTCTAGAGTGGATGGCTCACTGGAATGCTGTCTTTGACCTGGCCTGGGTCCCCGGTGAACTTAAACTTGTAAGTGACTTTTATTAGGCCTGAGTAGATGCAGAGAAAAGGTTTCTTTCTTAAATTTAACTATATTCTTTTTGGAAGGTTACAGCAGCGGGTGACCAAACAGCCAAATTTTGGGATGTAAACGCTGGTGAGTTGATGGGAACTTGCAAAGGCCATCAGTGCAGCCTCAAGTCTGTAGCTTTTTCCAAGTTTCAAAAAGGTATGTTGGTGCTCATCATTTCATCTCTGCCCTAATTGTTTATGTCTTTGCCCTGTTGAAGTGGTAGTGGAGATTTTAGTATAACTGAAGTAAAATTGGTTATGACCTATTAAAAAATGTTTTGCTGTGTATATGTGTCTGTGCTCCACATGTGTGCTATGCCTGCCGGGGCCAGAAGAGGGCACTGGATCTCCCCTGGGACTAGAGTTTGTGAGCTGCCATGAGCGTGCTAGGAATGAAACCCAGGTCCTCTGGAAAAGCAATCTCTTAGCTTCTGAGCCATCCCTGCAGCCCCTTGTGGCTCTTCCTAGGTCATTATCTCCAGCGTGTCCTGGGAAGTTAAAAGTCTGCTACTCCCTGAGATTCGTCCGCTTCTGCCTCCCATGTGCTGGGATTAAAGGCATGTGCTATTTGCTCTAGGCAAAATGCCCTGCTTTTAGAAGGAGTATTTTCATTTATTCACACAAATACTCAGGAATATTAAAGCAAGCTATTGAGTTGGTTTTGGCTTTTGGCAAAGTTAAATTTTTTTGTATTATTTTTCTGAGACAGATTCTCAGACTACCCAGAAACTGACCTCCCACTTCAGCCTGCCAAGTTGGTGTTACAGGCATGTGCCTCATTCCCAGGTCACAGAGTTACTTTTATCCTGCTGTAGTTGATGTTGAGTTTCGATTGCCACATAACCTCACTAATGTGTGTATTATGTGAATTTATGAATGCCTGTGTTCTGATTTGTTGTACTCTTAGATTTAAGTTTATATAAAGTTCATAGGAATAATTTATGATCGTGAAAATTTACCTAATTAAATAATATTGGAAAGGGAAACACCATGTCTTTGGGTGCTTTTGCTTAATTTTAAAAGTGTACATGTGGATAAGTTTATGCCATTCTTGTGTAAAAGGAAAGACACTGGATTGTACATGGAGCTAGTGAATTTTTATCCTGGCTGCTAGTAGTGGATGAGTTAGCCTAGGTGGAAACTGCCCACAAGGTCTCATTGTTTCATCAGTGAAACAGATGAGGTTTCAGCCTGCCTCCCCCTCAGTCATGCATAGAATGGCTTATAGCCAACTTTACATTTTATTTTGGACTTTGCAATGCCGTTTTGATCTACTTGGGTCTTCAGTGCCCAAGACCATTTAATTTGTGAAAATAACTGAATATAAAGACAAGATGAGGATTGAACTTAACTTTTTAAAACTTGGAGACTAAATGTTTAGTGCAGGTTTTGTATGGATTTTTTAGTTTTATAGTAGCATGGTAGAAAACATCTTTGGTCCGGTTATTCACCTCTGTGTGAACAGGATGCAGGTGGTCCTAATTGGGTATGGTAACACTAATGAAATTTGTCTCCCTTTTCCCTCCCGGTCCTCCCATATAACTCCTAAAGGTGTGACCATTTACATTGTTTTTGCTTATGTGTGTATTTGTCAGGGTTCTGTGGCTATGGAGAATACTGTTGTTCTTGCAGTTGCTTTCTGCTTAATCATGGGAAACCCTCCCAACTTTTGTTTCTTTATTTCTTCATTGTTAATCAGGAGTATAACAAAGCTCACAGTTGTTTGGAGACAAGGCCCCAAAGTAAAACTGCTGTGAATTTTAAACTTTGGTAAATTCAGGGAAAGTGGGCCACACTAACATGTGTATGTGTACAAACCGACCATGTGACCACTCCACACATGGTGTGGTTAAAGGGAAGGGTTTAATTGTAGATATGAGAGAACAGCCAGAGGATCTAGGAGAGTCCAGAGCAGAGAAAGTAGTAGCCTGAGTGTGGCCAGCAGTCTGGACTTGGCCATGAGAGAGACAGAGTAAGCGGATGGACAGAGAACATAGCTGAAATAGCAGGGTTAAAGGAGAATGGGTAGCTGGGGTGGCGTGAAGCCCATGAGCTGGGGAAGTTTATGGTAGAGGAGGAGGTAAGCAGAGCCAGGATGCCAGCATGGACTTTGAAATGTCTGAGAGGCACAGGTGATTATGAGGGAGCCTGGAGGCCAACTTAGGCACCACAAGTAGCCATATGTCCCCTCTGCCTTTGGGAGTTTGGGGAAATAGTTTTCTTTGGACCTGACAGTATGTTCATACAGCCTGCTGTGTCATTTAGTAGTGCTTGTAGTGCATCTACCTAAGGCTGACCCCTGGGGCTTAGAAACTTATCAGGGGCTGGTCCATCGAGGAAATTGATTTCCTCTCTCTACAACTATTGATCTCCTGTAGTCTTCATCTAAGGGTGAAGCCTTGTGAAATTTCCTGCATCCGTGCTGGCTTATTGGCTGGTGTTGCCGTTGTGTGTGCCTGACTTAGGCAGCCCTGCTAATCTAGAGACGCCGTCTCTCAGCAGGTGTTGTTCCTTCTTAACCTCCAGCTCCTGCAGTGCTGGTGAGACTGTGGTGGGGTGATGCGGCTGATGGGCCAGTTGCGGGTGGCACACAGCAGTCTCTCCCTGCATTTTGAGCAGCTGTGTGTCTGTAAATCGTCTCCGTCTGCTACAAACAGAAGCTGCTTTGATGAGGACTGACACTGCTTGCTGGGCAGGTGCACGCACAGGGTAAACTGTTGACACTGCATCGCATACCGTAAGATGTGCTTGTTTACACTGCAGCTCCATCAGAGATGAGGCTGAGTTTGAAGACAGAAATAAAGGTTCCCTCTTTAGTGCTTCTCCTCTGGTAGCTCTTGTGATAGAGTCCTCGCCACTTCAGTCTCTTCCCTGGTTTCTCCACCTCTAAAAGTTGGTGGCACGCTTTTCTGTGGTGTAGTCACTACAGAACGATGTGTTTTGTTCAGTATCCACAAAGCTCTCACTCAAGTAGTAGTTCTGGTGCTTTGTTCAGTGGATAGCTGTTACATTTGAGGCAGTCTGTTAAATGCTCGCTCCTCCATATAAGAAGCAGAATTTTGGGAGCTGGAGAGATGGCTCTGAGGTTAAGAGCACTGGCTGCTCTTGAAGAGATCCTGAGTTCAGTTCCCAGCAACCACATACATGGTGGCTCACAGCCACCTGCAGTGAGATCTGGTGCCCTCTCCTGGTCTGCAGGCAGAACACTGTATACATAATAAATAAATAGATCTTTTTTTTTGAAAAGCAAATTTAAAATTTTTTTAATTTATGGGTAGTTTTTGTACTGAGTGAATGTTATACCACTGAAGCCATACCTAGCTTTCACTTTTACTTAAAATAAAAAACATTACAAATAAATGCAGGGTGTGTGTTCCGTTTGATCCCGGTGCCCCCTTCCATGCCCAGAGGCAGTCCTTTTACAAATTGCATGAGACTGCATAGTCTCATGTTCAAACAATACGACTTGCCGCATTGGAGTATAGACTCTATAGTCATTCTGCTAAGAATACTTTTAGGAGTTACTTATCTTTTCTCTGCCCCTTTCTCATCTGTAAAGTAGGAAACCTACCTACTAGACGGACAGGAAAAATTGAGATACTGCGTGAAAAGTCTGTAGAGCAGTATGTACTACTTAAGGGAGTAAACTCCTCTGTGTTAACAATTGTTTGGTTAACATTTTACTGGAATTTCTAGAGTCAAATTCAGGATTTTTGGAGAATGTATTCTCTGGTAAATTTAAGTGACATGTATCTTTTGACTAGCTTTGCCAACATCTTGATGAACTCTTTTTCCCACAGCTGTATTCTCTACAGGTGGAAGAGATGGCAACATTATGATCTGGGATACCAGGTGCAACAAAAAAGGTAAGCTAGTTTTCTCTTAATCGTGATAAATGTGTGTCCCCTTCTGCTTAGTAACGTAATTATACTAAAGATGGAATGAAAATATCAGTGATTTCCTCTGATACCAGCAGGGGGCACTGGTGTTCACAGGCCTACATTTCTGCTCATTGCTCAATTGTCAAGGTAATGACTTTTACAAAGTTATTAACTTACATTTTAAATCTCATATTGTTTCCAAATTATAATTCCATTTACCCAAACTTTTGGTAGAATTGAAACTAATAATGGCATAGGTTAATTGGAGAAAGATTTTGAATTCCATGTCGTGTCGTTCTCCCCCAGACAGGGTTTCTCTGTAGACCAGGCTGGCCTCAAACTCACAGAGATCTGCCTGCCTCTGCCTCTGCCTCCCCAGTGCTGGGATTAAAGGCGTGCGCCACCAGAGCCCCGCTAGGTTTGAGTAATTTGTTTTTAATTTTCCTTTTTTTTTTGGTCCGGCAAGACACCTTATCAAATAAAGGTGCTTGCCATCAGAGCGTGACTGCCTTAGCTCAGTTCCCGCATGATAGAAGGAGAGAACAAACGCCCTCCAGGTGTCCTCTGATAGCACGGGCTGTATTACACTCCCCTCACTTAAAAATTCACTTTTCGTTTTAAAGAATCTCATTAAATTAAATACAAACTTGTATTGCACCATGGTGATGCTAAAGCAGATGGTCATTGATGCGTTTACTGCTAATTTATATATTGGTTTTAAAATATTAATAAACTTCCTTGGAGCAGTTTTGGTTTCATAGCAACATTGAAGTGCTGAGAGTTGTGTATATGCTCAGCACCTGCACACACAGCCTTCCCCCATCGGTATCCTGCATTCATGTGGTTGCAGATTTTCAGCTGGTCAATGTTCATTGACACATGACCACTTCAATCCATAATTCGCACTAGGGACTAGGGTTTATCTTTCATGTTACATATGATGTATGGACATTAGCAAGTAGATGACTTGTCTCTACCATTATAACACATAGAAGAGTTCGTTGCCCTAAAATGGGTGTGCTCTGGTGTTCATATCTACTGCCTCACTAAACCTTACTACCACTGTTTTTTTAACTCTCTTCATAGTTTAATTTATATTGTGCTAGTTAGTCAAAATCACATAAATCTGAAGTCCTGTATAAAAATGTTCAAATGTTATGTTGAGCTTGAAATCAGAAAACACTAAAACCAATTTCCTTGGATCTTTAGATGGATTTTATAGACAAGTGAATCAGATCAGTGGCGCTCACAACACTGCAGACAAGCAGACCCCTTCAAAACCCAAGAAGAAACAAAACTCAAAAGGTCTTGCTCCTTCTGTGGTAAGATTTTAGAGACATTTATGTATAAATAGGGTCTTGTTGTGTTTGCTTGTTTTTGAGACAAGATCTCCGCATATGCTTAGTCTGGCCTGGAATACTAGCTACATGGCTTCAGTGACCTAGCATTCATCAGTACAATTATGAAGCATCAACAAGAATAATTTTATGGTGGAGGGGCCACCACAGCATGAGAAACTGTATTAAAGGGTTGCAACATTAGGAAGGTTGGGGAACACTACTCTAAAATAAGCCTAGCAGTGGTGGTGCATGCCTTTAGTTCCAGTACTCAGCATACAGGGGTAGGCCAATGTCTGTGAGTTCAAGGTCAGCCTGGACTACAGAGAGAGATCTAGTACAGCCAGGGCTATTACACAGAGAAACTCTGCCTCAAAAAACCAAAATAAATAAACAAACAAATTAATACTGATGCATTGTTAACTACTTAAAATGAACATTTTAATTAACTGCAAGATCTCTTCCTAATCTTGAAGGATATAGGTTTAGAGCTTAATAAGCCAGAGGGAAGTGAATGAAGTGTCACACTCTGAAAACATGTCATCTCAACAGGAGAGGGGAGCTGTACAACTAACAACTAGGCTGGCTAACACCGTGCTGTTTCAGTCACACCCTTCAGAACCAGTCTTCTGGTGTGCATGACACACTGTTTTATCTCTTCTGGCACTCTTGCTCTCTGCAGAGTGTGTAAGTCTGATCGCTTGAACATTTTGAGAATGGCCAGCAGCTCAGCTGTTTACTCTGGGATACCTGGGTTTTCCCGGTTCCCTGGATGTCACCTAGTAAAGGTGACTCATAGTCACTCAGTAGCTGGTGGTATTGGGGTGGGGAACTGCCGTGCTTGTGGAAAGTGAGCGGATGTTTCTTAGAGCAGGTAGGAAGTCAAGTTGAGCGTGTAAGACACCCCTTTCCCCTCCCCATCTCTTCAGCAGTCTGGCCTTTTGTTTAGATGCCCGGGCACACTGGCAAATATGATCATTTTACAGCCTGACACTGCTGCCATGTATGAAGTAGAGACAAGCTCCAGCCATGCCCATAGTACGTCTTTTTCTAGAAAAGAAAAGTGGCTGTTGATTTCATTTGTGCAATCTGGTGATATTCCTGGTATGTAAGGTTTGAGTAAATATTTATGGAGAAGTATAACTGCCAAACTATTGTGGCTAAAGGCTTCATCTTCCATTGGATTTTCAGGAGACCTTGTGAGGTTAGTAGCACTTGGGAGATAAAGCTCCCCTAACCCTCCCCTTTCCTGCACATGGGACACATGGCATGATGGGCAGAAGGGGAACTTACGGAGCCAGTTCTCTTGCTCTGTGTGGCTTCTCAGTATTGAACTCAGTTCTTCAGGCTTGGCAGCAGCTGCCTTCCCCCACTAAAACACCTTACCAACCTAGGACGTGTGTGGGCGGGCATGTGTGTCTTCTTTTAGGGATTGTTGGTTTTTTGGGGGGAGGTTTCTGGGTTGTTTGTGGTATTTGTTTGGTTTGTTTTTGGAGCTAGGGTCTCTACATAGCCCTGGATGTCTTGAAACTTACTATGTAGAACAGACTGGCCTCCCAATACATGTGCCACCATTCCTTTAATTTATATTACTATCAAAAATATGGCATCCTTTTTCACCTTCCCTTTACTCCTCCCCATCTCTCAAAATCATGGCTCCTTTGTCTTTGCTATTACATCATACATACACATGCATACATGCCTAAATATATAAACATAGCCTGTTCAGTTTGTTTAATGTATATGACTTCAGAGCTGACTACATGGTATTGAATAACTGGAAAAGGAGTTCTCCATAGGAGAGAGACTTATCTCTCCTGCTCTCGGCATTGCTTAATTGCCTGTAGTTCTTTGTCTGTGCGTGGGGCGCTGTGAGATCCCCCTCTGTGTTAGCATGTATAAGTATTATACTTTCAGTCTTGTTTAGGCAGCCATATTGTTCAGGCATCATCGGGGAAGCTTCCTGACATTTCTAGAAGACATAATCTGACAGCAGCTTCAGAAAAGCTAGTTTTAAGGACCTTGTTCTCTTACTGGTGAAGACTGTGATGACCAAAACAGAATTCCTTCTTTTTCTTGCTTGTGCTATTAGGATTCCCAGCAGAGTGTTACTGTGGTCCTGTTTCAGGATGAGAGCACGTTGGTCTCAGCAGGAGCTGTGGATGGGTAAAAAGACTTTCTTTTCCTTACGTTTCCTCAGTGCTTTCCGGGAAAGCTACTGTAGTACTTAATTATGTGTCTTACTTTCAGTATAGTGGGTGCTGTAGCTAGGAAGAAGTTTAGAGGTCACAGCGGGAACTATACAGCCAGAACTCAAATAATTAAGATAATATGTGTGCTGTGCTTGGCACAAATCTCTAACTCATAGAAACAATGTTTCCTGCTGTGGGGTGGGGACTTGCTTGCCTTTTATCAGTACAGTTAAGGCCTAATATACTTATCTATGGTTGATCTAAAGTTTGATGGCCAGGTGAGTCTGTGGTGCTTATTCGTTTATTCTTTTTCTACTGAATACTATAGAAAATAGATTATGTGCAGGGACTCTTTGAAGTGTATCTTTTTGCCCATTGTATTTCCAAGTGTATTATTGTATTCTGGTTTTATTTTGGTTTTGGTTTGTTTGTTTGGTTGGTTGGTTGTTTTGACAGGGCTTCTTTCTCTATGTAGTCCTGACTGTCCTGGTACTCACTTTGTAGACCAGGCTAACCTCGAACTCACAGAGATCCACCTGCCTCTGCCTCTTGAGTGGTGGGATTAAAGGTATATACCACCCATCTGGTTCATTCAAGTTTTTGATTTAAAAAATGTTTTACTAATTAGGTTTTTTGTTGTTTCCTATGGGAATTTAAATCTTTCTATGAAGAAGGAGTAGGGAGTTTGCAAAGTTACTACTGTGTTTGTGAATAACTGCTAAAGACGCTGCCTTTTTATGAGAAGTGCATGGTTTCAGATTACCCACAAAAGTAGAAGCAAGGGTTAAGACAATTATCCCAATAGGTGAAGTGGAAAACATTTTCTCCTTTCACAGGAAAGAGTGTTTAGTTAAGGAGTTATGTATAGAAGTAATGCACCCTGCATTTCAGGGGATATGGGCAGAGTGTTAAAGACTTAGGAAGTTTTTTATCTGGAAGAACAATGGAACAGCAACTATCAGCATCTAACCTCCATCTTCCTTTTCCCGCTACCCTGAAGTAAGTGCCAGTGACTCATCATTGGGTCAGATCACATCTGTTTCCGTTTTGTATGAACTGTAATCTTGACATTGGAAACAATAGTGTTGAATTCCCAGTGAGATGTCCTCAGTGTAACTGGACAGTGTGACGGACGAGATAGATTAAAAGTCATTTCACACTCTGTAAATAAAATTGTTGAAATAGGTCTAGATTATTGGTTCTCAACCTTCAGGTTGTGAGCACTTTGACCCTTCCATTCACGGGAATCATCTAGGATTCTCTGCATATCAGATATTTGAATTGTGATTCATACCATTAGCAAAATTACAGCTAATAAGTAGCAATGAAAATCATCTTATGATGGGGGAGTCACTGCAAGTTGAGGAACTATTGCAGCATTCAAAAGGTTGAGAACCACTGGTCTTGGTTTTTAGGATAATCAAGGTGTGGGATTTACGAAAGAATTATACTACTTATCGACAAGAACCCATAGCATCCAAGTCTTTCCTGTACCCAGGGACCAGCACTCGAAAACTAGGTAAGCCTTTGTTTTATCTGTAGGATTTGGGGGTTAAAGTGTGAATTTCAACTAAAAAAAATTGTTTTAATACCAGGCTGATTTTCAGCAAAGACTTCAAAAACAAAGTATATGGTTGTAAAGATAAAATCCTAATATTGTTTTGATTTTTATATAAGAAATACTTATCTTGTGGCATGAACTGTTTTGTACCCAAGGTTTAACCTCATGGACATTCACTAACTTTTCCAGGGTACTCAAGTTTGGTTTTAGATTCTACTGGTTCTACTTTATTTGCCAACTGCACAGATGACAACATCTATATGTTCAATATGACTGGCTTAAAAACTTCTCCAGGTAAGATAGTAGTCATTCAGATTCTCTTAACAGGAAACTAATAGTTGCTTTTCTGCTAATGATAATTCAGTAGTGGTTTTCTTTTTTTTCTTCTTCTTTTTTTTTTCTTTGTCTTGTTTTCCTAAAATAAACAAGCCACATGAGGGAAGACTGCCATCCTATTAATTAGTTCCTCTGGTGTTTTACTAAGTGTATGTTCCTGTGACTGTCGCACAAGTGAAGCCACGTTCTTTGGCCTGTGTTTGGGGTTATCACTCATCTCTCTAAGGTTTATTTATTTTATATGTATGAGTGTTTTGCTTATGTGTCAAGTCTGTGGACTTTAGAAGGGGGCGGTAATCAGATCTCCTAGAACTAGAGTTGTAGATGGTGTGAGCCACCAAATGGGTGCTGGTAGTCAAATCTGGGTCCTCTGTAAGAACCAGTGCCGTAAACCACTGGCCATCTCTCCAGCCCCTATAGTTATCTTGATTCTCTGTTTAATAAACTTGAGAATAAAGGAAACTTCTCTTGAGTTTTACAGACTTCCCGGATAGTTTTTTGCCTTCTCAATGTTGGGTGAAGACCATTATCTCCAGAGGTGTTTCTTCCTTAATGTACATTTTTCCCTCTCCCTCAAGAATATAAAATTAGGGGGCTGGGTGCAGTGGGGTGGGGGGGATTGATGACTCAGCAGTTAAGAGCACTGGCTGCTTTTGCAGAGGACTCGGGTTCAATTGCCAGTACTTGCAGGGCAGCTCACATCTGTCTTCACCCCAGTTCCAAGGGATCAGAGATGCCCTCTTCTGGCTTCTGTGTAGGAAGCTGGGCGTGCACAAGGTACACAACCATGCAGGCAAACCACCCATGCATACTGAAGTAAGTAAATGTTTTTAAAGGAATAGAAAGAATAGACACTGAGACTAGCAAATATTGTTGTAAGAAACTAAAGTTTCTAAAGCACACTGTAAGGGGTTGCAGATTGCATTTTTTAAATAACCAGTTACTTGGGCAATCTATGTATGTGTTAGTGCCATGAGTCTTCCTCAAAGTCTAGTAGTTTGGTTAAAAAATCTTTGAATTCAGCCGGGCGTTGGTGGCGCACACCTTTAATCCCAGCACTTGGGAGGCAGAGGCAGGCGGATCTCTGTGAGTTCAAGGCCAGCCTGGTCTACTAAGGGAGTTCCAGGACAGGCTCCAAGACAATACAGAGAAACCCTGTCTCAAAAAACCAAAAAAAAAAAAAAAAATCTTTGAATTCCACACCACATTCCCAGAGCTGCTTGGTTCCCAAATGGTCCAAGAACAAGAAATATTCAAATACTATGGAACTTGGTATTTGCTTATGCTTTTAGAGAAATTTCCAAATATTTCCCCTAGCCATCTTCCAGAATTATTCTATCTTCAGAGGTGCTATACTTGGTATGACCTTTAAAATCAGCAAGGGAATGCAGCTCTGTGGTGGAGTGCTTGGCTAGTGTGCATAAGGTCTTAGGTTCAATCCCTGGTACCATACAATAAAAGGAAAAGAAAAGGAAAACTATGCTATAGCTTGGAAAGATAGCCCAGTTGGTAAAGTGCTTGCCACTCAGACAGGAGACCTGAGTTTGGATCACTAGCACCCACGTGACAGCTGAGCATGGCAGTGCACACATACAGTCTCTGCTGGGGAAGCAGAGGTGGGAGAATTCTGGAGCCTGTCGGCCAAGTAGTCTCATGGGATTGATTGACAAGCTCCAGGTTCAGTGAGAGTGAGAGACTTGTCTAGGGGTGAGGGCGGAGTAATGAGGAAGACATCTGATATCATTACCTGGCCTCCAGTGTATACAGGACACATACACAAGATAAGACTATCAAGTGTATACTATTTTATGTATATTTCCTATATTGTAGCACTGAAAGGGTCTTTAGTTTGCCATTCTGCCATTAAACCTTTGCTAATAATTTAGTAACCTTTTTCTGTTCTTTTTAAATTGTTCTCATGGATAGATTTGGTTTTTAGAATGCCAGCTGGGTGTAGTGGCACATGCTTTTAGTCCTAGCACTCAGGTGGTAGAGGTAGGCAGATCTCTGTTAGTTTGAGAACAGTCAGAGCTACATAATAAAGGGACCCTGTGTGAAAAAAAATGAAGAGAGAGAGAGAGTGTCTGTGTGTGTGTGTGCGTGTGTGTGTGTGTGTGTGTGAGAGAGAGAGAGAGAGAGAGAGAGAGAGAGAGAGAGAGAGAGAGAGAGAGAGAGAGAGAGAGAGAGAGAGAGAGAGAACTAAATATGTGTATAAAAAGCATCTGGTAATTACTTGCCTTTTTAAGACTTTGGGAAGGACCAGAATTTCATGTTTGAATGATTTTTTTTAAACTCATAATATTGTAATATACTAAGTAATAGCTCTTTCCCATGCCCAGTTCAGCACAGAAGAACTAAGTCAAAGCCAGGTGTAGTACATGCTTATAACACCAAAGTGTGGGACACTTGATGCAGGAGGGTCAGGAATTCACGGTCACATAATGAGATCCTGTCTCCACCTCAAAACCACAACAAAAAACCAAAGTGAAGTCATTGTAATTAAAGCTATTGGAGCATTTTAGGAAAATTTTTGCTGTATTTGAAACATTTGCAATGTGCTTCATACCAGCTTTTCCTAGACCAGCAGAGGGCAATAAAAAACAGCATTAGTAGGAAATTCAGTTTATAATTTTCCATTCATAGTTCAGCACAAACGATGAATAATCTGAATAATTCCTGTTGGGAAGAAGTGTTCAGAATGAAGGAGCCTCTTTATTATGTAGGTCTTTATCATAGAGGGTTTTTTGTTTTTGTTTTTCAAGGCAGGTTTTCTTTGTATTGCTCTGGAACCTGTCCTGGCACTTGTGTTGTAGATAAAGCTGGCCTTGAACTCAGAGATCCGACTGCCTCTGCCTCCTGGGTGCTGTGATTAAAGGCGTGTGCCACCAAGCCTAGCCTATCTTAGAGTTTCTTTTATTGCTTTAGGTATTAGTTTTATTGCTTTTTCAGACAGAGTTTCACAGTGTAGACCTGGCTAGCCTTGAACACAAAGATCTACCTGCTGCCTCCTAAGTGCTGGGATTAAAAGCATGTGCCACCACCACCAAGCTATCCTAGTGAGTTTATAATATATCTAAATTGGTTTGTGCTGAACTTTACTTTTATAGTAAAAATTTCTGATATAGAGAATATTTGATAGAATTTTTATTAAAGTGTGTATGAGTGTTGTCTTGCATATATGCTACAGAGTTCTAGACAATTATGGGCCTAGGTGTGGGGAAGCATTCCAGTCCTCTGGAAGAGTAGCCAGTGCTCTTAACTCTGAGCCATCTCTGCAAAACCATATTTTGTTTTTCTTTAAAAGGTTTTTTTTCTATTTAGAAAATAGAATGGATTTCTGTGAGCACTTAAGCAAAAGCTATTGCTGCCTCCTTCCCTGTTAAGCATTCAGATGTTATATTTCCCCCACCCCCAGTCGTGTCTTTAAATCTTCTGTAGTGCTTTGAGGCCAGCAGTCTCACGAGCACATTGTACAAGATGTGATTACTTGCTTTCTCCGTGAGTCGTGAGACCCAACCCAAACTGGGTGGCTTACAGATGAGCAAGCATTGCGCCCCTCTAGGTCCTTCCTGTCCTGCCTGAGTCTCAGCCAGAGTTCAAATGACTCTTTTCACTGATTCTTATCTTTCGGGAGCAAATGCTAGGAGTTTCATTCTGTTTAAAGTGCTGAGGTCTAGAAAGAAGGGAGATGTATCCTCAAGAAGTTCGGTCAGTGGAGAAATAAGATCAGTGTGTTTATCAATGGAGAAAATCCTTCTACAGAATAGGGATATGGACACAGTCTGCGTTTGCTATAGGATTACATTCAGCGTTCTTTTTCATGATACCAAATAGTCTGTGTTGAATTCGCTATATAGATCGGGTCTGACACACAAGCCTCATTTTTATGTTGTGTTTCGTTCTGTTTTTAGCGCCTAGCTCCCTATTATTTTGAAAGCAAGTTGAAGCAGTGATAATGCTTGTGTGATTCGTGTGTGTGTGTGTGTGTGTGTGTGTGTGTGTGTGTGTGTGTGTGTGATTTGCATTTGTTGGGATATTGGAAATGTTAAGAGTCAAGTAATTTGTTTTTCTCCTCTGGCAGTGGCTGTCTTCAACGGACACCAGAACTCTACCTTTTATGTAAAATCAAGTCTTAGTCCAGATGACCAGTTTTTAATCAGTGGTTCAAGTGATGAAGCTGCCTATATTTGGAAGGTAAGGTGTCAACTCCCCACAGATAGAAGGATTCGTCCGGGGGAGGTGTGTTTAGAACAATCACACACTGCTGTCTCTACCTACCTTCTGTACTCTTGGAGTGTTTAAACTGTTTCTGCGTGTATTGCTAGTTATAAATGCTTCTCTTATATTTAAAACTTTGAAAGTTTTATTCTTTGTGTTTTCTGTTTCTTCTTTCCTCACTGTCTTACTACTTTTATTTCTCTACTTTAATTCCCAACATAGTTACAGGATTTTACTCATTCCACAAGTCTGTGTCATTCTCTCTTGAAAGAAAACACCAACTACAATTTTACACATGTGAGATAATATAATAGGATTGCTAGTTCCATAAAGTACATATGACTACGTATATAACTAAATATATACATCTGGGTCTTCTTGACCATTCTTAAAGTTTCTGTAGCACAGGATCCTTTTCTTAGAGGTCTCATCTGTGGCCACAGTATCTATGGTGACCCTAACTGAATTCCCAGGCGTGGTTGCATGTGACCACTGAATGACGTGGTTTAGACAGCATGTTCTCCTGCCTGTCCACACATAGCTCAGTGTCCAGGCCCTGATATTTGAGACCTTGGCAAGCTTACTGCTCCTAAAATTGAATTTGCCCAGTAAGGTGGCTCAGTTTCTCCTTTCCATTATTAAAAGAGGAGTTTAAATGGGATTTCATGTAAGCTGAGTGTCCAGACCGCTGAGGTGTCTCTTTGGGTTAGAGTAGGCTTTCATATTGAATCTGTTCTGTGCTAAAGGAAGGAACAAGGAGTTTTATGTTCTGACAAAAGAGAATGGCCCCTTTTTTTTTTGTAGAATCCTCATGATAGACACTAAAACCCAAAATTGTAAACTTATACAAACATTGAGCATTCTGCTCTTGAATTTCCTACCCTCTGTCCCACCCATGCTTCCACCTCCCCTCCCGTCGGTCTCTGAACAGCCCTGAATAGTACCGAAGTGGTTATAAATAAACTAATTTGGCACGGCCATCCTGCTGCTGACTGGCGGGACACTGAGCCCGACACTTTAGGAAGTGTAAATGATCTCATGGCAAAAATAAAGATTAGATTTGCTTTCCAGTCGGGCAGAGTAAGGAGATTCTGTGAGGGAAAGTGCTGATGAATTTCGTGTGCTTAAGTACGCAAAGTGCCTCTTGAGGTCTAAAGGTTAGAGCCATGTACTTCAAGAGGTGCCTCATAGTTTGACTTTTGGATTCCTGTGTCTTAAACATTCTATAAAAAGTAGAATGTGTAAAAGAGTGCAGTTTTCTGTATTGAACACCCCAAAATGTTTAGGTTATTTTTTTAATTTAAAAACATTTTCTTCCTACTCAATGAAAGCTTTTTAAGAATTAAATAATGATGGTAACTTTTTTATAATAAATTGAAATCTGGAATGAAAATGAATTCAAAGCCATCTGGGTTTCATGAAGGAAAAATTGGTCTTATTTAAAGTAGTCAAAAAGTAAGTGTTCTACCTAAGATAGTCCTGAGCTGTTAAAACTGTCACCAAAGTTCACAAAAAACTTACCAGCAATTGGCTTCTGTCCCTTCTTTCTATTAAAACAGAATCTAGGGGTCGGGTATAGTTGTGTGCATCTGTAATTGCAGCACCCAGGAATTAGACACAAAAGGATTTCAGGTTTGAGGTGAGCCTGGGCAGGGCAAGCCTGCATTTGCAAGAAAATGCAAAGATCTCCTTAAGAGTGGAGAGTGTGGTGCAGTGGTTAGAGGGCTTGCCTAGCATGAGAGATACCCTGCATTTGATTCCTTAGCATCACCAAATACATTTAAAGCGTACAGTTCAGTATGATCACTGTTCTGCAAATCTTTCCTACTATCTAATGCTTGAATGTCACACCAGAAGGAAACCACATTATCCCCTAACAATTGCCATGTTGTCTATTCTTTCTCTGAGACATTTCATGTAAATAGTATCACATAATAATATATGGCATTCTGAGGCCGGGCATTGGTGGCGCACACATTTAATCCCAGCACTCGGGAGGCAGAGGCAGGCGGATTTCTGAGTTTGAGGCCAGCCTGGTCTACAAGAGCTAGTTCAGTTCAGGACAACCTCCAAAGCCACAGGAAATTCTGTGTGTGACCTTAGTATATTATTCAGGTTTCCGCTTGTTGCACAGTACTTCACCCTTCCAAATGCTGGAGTGTATTCTATTTTAATAAGCCAACCACATTTTATCTGCTTATCAGCTAATGGTCATGTTAGATGTTCAGAATTTTTATTCTATTACTAAAAGTCTCTTGTTACCATTTGTGTGTATTTTGCTTGAGCATGTTTTCAAATCTCTTGAGGAGGTATATACCAGAGAATAGAGTTGATAGATCATATGATACCTAATTATATGTCAATTTTTTTTGAGGTATCTTCCACCTAGTTTTTTGATGCTATATAAAGTGCCTGATTTATGAATTCTGTGAATAAATGCTGACTATGGCTTTAATACTGCTTATTTACTATCTATAAGTTTCTACAGGGGTCTTTTTCTTTGCAGCCCTGTAGAAAAGTGCAGAATTGGGTGCGTTTCTGTTGGCGGGTACTTGGTTTTTCCTAAGTCTTTAGTATTTTGTATAATCAGTTAGGTTCTTGTAAAGGGAAGCTTTTCCTTGTGAGAAGCCTTCCCGCCAGCCTGGTTCTAGAGCCGCATCAGTCCCAAATAAACACACAGGAGGCTATATTAATTACTGGCTAGCTCTGACTTAAGTATTTATCCCATAATTGTTAATCTAAGTATTTCTCTTACCGGAGAGGTTTCCGGGCTTCCTACCCCATGGCGTTACATCTTGACTCTCTGTGTTTCTCCTTCCCAGAGTCTTCCTGGACTCCTAGTTCCACCTATCTTGATTCCCTATTGGCCAGCAGTGCTTTATTGACATATACACAGGACTTCCCCAACAGGTTCTCCTAGATACTGTGATACGGGAACTGAGGAATGGCAAGGCAAATCGAACTCTGTCCTTTGTTTTTGCCATTTTAATCATTGCACATTTGCCAGGTAGCAATGATTGAGTCAGATAACCCATGAATCAGTGTTGAGTCTCAGCTGTAATTTGGGGAATCTGATCAGCTGGCTTAGTCAACGTAGAAATAGTCTTTCTAAAGTTGCCTTCACTTCATGCAAATGATCCATGATTCAGAGACTTGGGAAAATAGAGACTGCGTTCTCTAAGCTCCTTGCTCTTCAAATACGTGTACTAAGAATAGCAGTGTGAGCTTGCACTCCTTATTATGCTGGCATTCCTGTGTGCTGTAAAAGGTGTTAATAGCTCTGTAATGAACTGGCTGTACAATGCTATCAAGTGCCTATCCCTGGACATCTAATGATTGAAAATAGAATTCTTAGTGATATGCATAGTATTTCATAATCTGACCCCTCAATACATTAAACACATTAAAATGTGGTAAAATTACTTGTAATTTTAAATTGTCCTTCATACAAAATAACTGAAACGTTTGAATGAAAAATTACAAATTATAGCTGTCTCTCCATTCAAATTGAAGGTTATCCCATTCAAAGTAAAAGGATGACACTTTGGATTTTGGTCATAGTGTGTTTTGCGTCGGGGGTGGTGAGGAGCTGTCCTTATTCTAAAAGAGCTGGTTGTCCATTTCATCTGCCTTCAGGGTTCAGTTAATTTAATAGTCCTGAAGTGGCTGATTATAGAAGATCTGGACGTGTCCACACAGAGTAAAAACAGGGCTGGAGCTGAACCTCAGCCCAGAAAGCTCAGTGGCCAAGGGACAGTGCCATCATGGCACTTCAGTTGAAGGAGCTGTCTTGTGTTTGGGCTCATAATCTTGACTGTTGAAGTAGACAACTCTACCTTTGTTGACAACCCTAAAGTCCTGAGACATCCGGTAAGGAGATTCCAGACCTCTGTGGGGACTAACCCTGTTGTACTGTATGTTCTCTCCGCTTTGACTAGATTTCCATGCCCTGGCACCCTCCTACTGTGCTCCTGGGTCATTCTCAAGAGGTCACGTCTGTGTGCTGGTGTCCATCGGACTTCACCAAGGTTTGTGGATGGTCTCCATAACTGGTTTTAAAAAGTGGATTCTAAATTTGTACATTTTCCCAAAGTTTATTTGAAAATAATACAGATTTTTATGTTTAGACATTTAGAAGAATCCGGGGTATGTATCACACACACCTTTTCCCCAATATGAGGAATTATTGTATACAGTGGAATAAAGTTGGATTTGTAGTCATTCCTTTTCTTAAAAATAAAGAGTGAAATCTGAAGTGAAAGTCTAGAGAGGTGGCTCGGCTCGAAGAGGACCTGTGTTTGGTTCCTAGCCTCCACATCAGCATCAGGCGGCTGCAGCTGCCCACAACTGCAGCTCCAAGGGAGCCAGTGCGTCTGTTCTCCATGTGTGCCTGCTCTCACCGGCTTAGGTGTGCACACATGCCACACACTTAGAAGTAGATTTTAACAACATAACAGGTAGCTGGGGAGATGGCTCTGTGGGTAAGAGCACTTGCTGTACAACCATGAGGACATGGATTCAAATGTTCAGCCCCAAATTTAAGAAGCTAGGGTACCTGCACACATCTATAACCTTGTTGCTGGAGTTAGAGAGGGGCATGCCAGGAGCCTGATGGCCGGCCAGCCTGCCCAGCAGCAGTGGGTGCGTTCTGGTCTGGTTGGAGTCCTTGTCTCAGGGAATTAGGAGGAGAGTTAGAGAAACATACCCAGTCTTCCTCTGGCTTCTGTGTACCCATGTATACCCCACTCACACGACCCTCCCAAGCTCAAAGCACTAAATGAAGGTGTGAGGAGTCAAGAAAATTATCTAATAAAATGGAAATTCAATAAGAAGAAAAATGAAAAAGTGAGTTTCTGTCCTTTCTACCTATTGACAGTAACATCTGACAGTGCTACAGGGCCTAACGGGGCAGGTTATCTCAGAAACTGTCTAGTCTACGCATGGCGTTGGATACTATTAGTATTTCAGAACTGCTGGATCTGTCCTAGGTTTTGTTTGTATCCCTATTGCATTTCTTTGCTTAGCCTCGTGAAAGCTCTTCTTTATAAGCTTACATAAGAACAGGTTTCATTTGACACTTTCATATACTTCCAGCGTTGTTCTTGTCTGTAATTACATCCTGGTGACATTCTCTCCAAAATCCCATGTCATTTTTAATGGAATGCCTGCTTTTTACACAGGTTATCAGATACACCATCATATTTTGTTTGCTTGGGTTTTGGGGGAATGTTCTTTCTGTTTTTATTTTTGTGGGTTTTTGTTTGTTTTTGAGAAAGAACGTCTTGCTGCTTTACAGCTCAGAACTTTGAAGTCACTGTCTTCCTGCTCTGCCCTAGCTTCCCAGGTGCTAGGGCACAGGTGCTCACCATTGTGCCCAGCTTTCAAGGGCTTTTAAATGAGATAAAGAATGTAAAGGAAGCCAGGTAGTGGTGGCGGCGATGCGCACCTTTAATCCCAGCACAGCAGAGGCAGGTGGTGTGAGTTCAAGGGCAGCCTGGTCTGCGGCATGAATTCCAAGACAACAAAGAGTGTTACACAGAGAAACCCTGTCTGAGGTGCATGGGTGTGAAGGACCATATGTATCAAAATACCTATAAATACAATTATTGTCACTATAGCACTTGTGGGGTTCCAACATTTTTTGTTGAGAAGTGAAATATGTGTGTCTTCTCTTGGCCTCCCAGTAAGGGAAGGAAAATGTTGCCAGTCTCTTGGGGGCCACGACTTAAAAGAACATGTGTTCTTTTTTCCTTTCTGTGTAGTGACTGAAATAGAGAAATTATATAAACAAATGCTGGGGAACAGCTCTGGCATCAGTGGCCATTGGCCTCTAGCTCTTCAAGCTGGGCTTTCTCTGCCATAAAAGGCTTGGGACCAAGATCAGGAATGGTTGGATATTTTTAAAGGGGCAAAGGTTATTTTTAACTTCTTTGAGCCTAGTGAACTTTTGTTTTCCTGGGTTGCTCCTTTACCTATCTGAAAAAGCATCTCAGAGGAACGGGTTCATTGCTTGTCATGGCCTGCTGGAGTTACAGGCTAGGTCTGATCTGAGAATATTCTCATCACTTTAGCAATGCACAGTTTAGAAGACATTGAATAGTGACAGTATGTACTAATCAATCATTTCACACAAAGAGATAAAAAGGAATCTCTTTTTTTTTTTTTTTTTTTTTTTGGTTTTACGAGACAGGGTTTCTCTGTATTGTTTTGGAGGCTATCGGTCCAGCCCAGCCTCGAACTCACAGAGATCCGCCTGCCTCTTCCTCCCGAGTGCTGGGATTAAAGGCGTGCGCCACCACCACCCGGCGATAAAAAGGAATCTTACTTACATATGGTTATATAAAAAGTGTTAAAGGCATGAGTTGCCTGGCTTCAGAGACGAAAAGGAAATGAACCTGTAATTATAAAGCTATAGGTTAGGTGAGAATTGATAGTGTTCTGGAGAGAGCCTTTGCTGTTCTTGCAGAGGACCCAGATTCAGTTTCAAGCACACACAACCATCTTCATTTCCACAGGATATGATGCTCTTTTCTCTTTTCTGCTGGCATACACATGTGTAATCAAAACACATGAAGTTAAATCTTAAAAAAGAATTACTGGTAATAAGTTTCTCAGTAGAAAATACACTTTAAAGAAGAAACTGAAGCTTGGGTCATTGTAAAGCTAGAATGTTTCTCTAAACCGAGGTGAAGGTAGATGACCTTTCAGATGTCATCTGTGCTATGTTACAGCAGACAAAGTAAGTCAAGGTTCATGAGTCTTTAGGGCACAGCTACTTTTGATTTTGTTGTAAATCTTTGAAACTTATCATTGTTTTCCTGGTTCTTAGATTGCTACCTGCTCTGATGATAACACACTAAAAATCTGGCGCTTGAACAGAGGTCTGGAGGAGAAGCCGGGGAGCGATAAACATTCCATAGTGGGTTGGACTTCTCAGAAGAAAAAGGAGGCGAAAGCTGGCCTAGGTAAGGATAGCATGCATTTCCATGGTTTTCTTGGTTTCCTTGGTAGATTGAGTCCTACTATGTACTTTGGGAGGCTAGATTTGCCCTTGTTTTGTAATATTTTCAAAGAGAAGCACCATCTTGGCATTTCTTAAAGAGAACTGTCCTCTGTAACTGACCACTTCTTTGTCATTAAGGGGCTCAAAAAGAGCAATGTATTTAGTCAGTAAATATTCATAGACTGTCATGTGTTGCTTACTCTTAGTTTTGTTTAGCAATAAACAGAAGATTCAGATCTCAGATATAAACATCTTACTCATGAGTGGCAGTAAGTAATCTAAAGAAGTAAATTGGCATCAAGTAACAGGAGGCGCCAGCGAGAAGAATGGAAATGTGCTGTCAAATGTCTCTGTAATAGAGAGGCCTCACGGACTTCGGGAGGGGAAATAATTGTTGAGCCGTGTGGGTATTTGGAAGGCTGCTCTAGGCAGACTGCATGGTGAGACTAAGATACTACAAGAGAACGCCTGGCATGTCTTCTTCTAGAAGGCCAGTGCTGAAGCCAGTGAGGCACAGAGGGAAAATGAAGTTCATGCATGACAGAAGTCATCAAAATCTGTGTGGTGACACATGCCTGTAATCCCAGCACTCGGGAATAGTGTGCGTTTGAGGTTAGCCTGACCTTGTCTCAAGAAAACAAAAAGAGAATATATTTAACAAAATTTCATAAATATTTAAATTGTGGATATAAGAAAGAACCCACAGGCCGGGCGGTGGTGGCGCATGCCTTTAATCCCAGCACTCAGGAGGAAGAGGCAGGCAGATCTCTGTGAGTTCGAGGCCGGGCTGGACCGACAGCCTCCAAACAATACAGAGAAACCCTGTCTCGTAAAAAAAAAAAAGGAAAGGAAAAGAAAGAAAGAACCACAGAATAATATGCTAAAGGATCACATGTAAAATATAAGGTGGATTTTTAAAGGATGATTTTGGGGTTTTTACTTGAGGCTTCAGGATGGAGTTAAATTGTCTAAACCTAGATGAGAATTGCTGCAGATTTAGGAAGGAAGCTAGAGTTTGATTTTGATGTAACATGGCTTTATCTTACATCCAAAGGGAGGTCAGGAGAAGATGGTGTTAAATTGGGTGGAATTTGCGACTTTATTCTTAAACTTTGGTGAAGTTTCCACAGTGTGAAGCTGTAGTTAGAGCCAGAGCTCAAGGCCTCTAGTCCAGCCATGGAGCAGTATAGACTCAGGCTGCTGTGCTGGCCCTTCAGGGACGTTCCAATTGAGACCAGCCTGGGATGGTGAGAGTGATGTCTCCACCTTTAGGTGGTGGTAACGTTACTCCAAAGAGCACTGCCAAGTAACGACCTGACCTAGGTGACAAAGGCTAATGGCCTTGCCATTGGACCCTGTAAGCCAGCTTCCAGAACAGATGGGCTGTTATTAACCACAGTGCCATTTCTTAATAATTGTGTTCATCTGTTTCCTCTGGTTATGATGCTCTGACCATTTGTGTCCTGGTTTCAGTCAGGCCCTCTCTGGCTTTTTTATGCCATCTGCAAGGCGTGCCCTTTTCCCTCTGACCTACTTTGCTCAACCAGCACCTGCTCTGCTGCTTACTGTGCTGTCACTGTGTCAGTGGAGATCTCACAGCGCTGGTGAGGGTCTCAGTCTTGGCTGGGCATCAGAGACACCTGTGGAGCTTTTGATAAGTTTATACATTGCCAATCATGAATTTTGTGTAGAGGTCAGGTGTTTGTATTTTCATAAAGCTCTAGGTAAGTCTGTTATGTAGCCAAGATTGAGACGCTATGGTCTAGGGATTGAGTGACAGGATGATTATCCTAATTGCAAAGATAAGGAACTCTTGTTCAAACTCAAGTGTGTGTTGTCATCTGATTAGACAGTAGGATAATTATTTTCAGTTTCCTAATGCTTCTATCGTCACCTCATTGTTAGCAGCTGTGAAGTTTGACGTTTCACATTGTTTAATTCCTTACTAAACTCTAAATCCTTATCCCCTCCTGGGCTCACTGGCTAGCTTAGGAAGCAGATGCAGAAACTGTATAGTAGCTACTGTAAGCATTGCTTCTGGCTACACTCGTGAAAGGCTCTGAAAACCCATGGCTTCTGTGACAGGGTAGCTGTGTTGGGAAAAGAATATGAATAAGGGGTTACTGGATCCTTGAAACATGGGAATTTTTGCCTAACAAGGAAGGGGCCAAAAGTACACATGAACCGAGGCGGGGTATAATAGTGCACAGCCTGTTGAGAAAAAGGGTGAGTCGTCCCTCCCTATTGCAGGACCCTAAAGCAATATTATGTGTAAGACTGAAGGTACTGACCAAATGGCTAACCTTTGAACAGAAAGAAGCTACAGGTTTAAGAGTAGTGTACTCTGTAAGTCTTTAAAAGGAGTATCTTGAAGAAGCCAGAGTGAAGGCTGGAGTTAAGAGCACTGGCTATGCACTTCCAAGGGCCCTGAGTTCAATTCCCAGCAACCATATGGTGGCTCACAGCCATCTGCAATGAGATCTGGCTCCCTCTTCCGGCCTGCAGGTGGACATGCAGACAGAACACTGTATACAGGGTAAACACATCTAAAAACAGCCAGAGCGAGGGGTTGATGTCCCAACAGAGATAGAGCTCCGTGCATGATAGAGCTTGTCTACCTTGTCCCGTTTACACAAAGCAACAGCTCAATCCACCATGTGTGGTCAGACTTCACACATGGCTTGTCAAACACTAGTGTTCCTAAATGAAATAGAAAATGGTAGGTCGTTAAATGCATTGGTAGTTTTGCGATACATGGTTAGAGTGCTTTGCACCTGAGTTCTAAAAAGTTACAGAGCCATGTACTACATTCATGCAATGCCTGAAGAGGCCAGAAGAGGGGGCTTAGACGCTCTGGGAGCAACAGGCAGTTGTGAGGTGTTATGTGGATGCTCAGAACTGATCCCAGGTCATCTACAAAAGCAGTCAGCTCCCAACCCTGAGCATCTCCGGCTCAGATGACATTTTCTGTCAGTCAGGTTTACTTCATGTAGATGCAATTCAGTAATTAAAACTGTTTGACCCAGAGTCTATTAGTGGTCCTTTCCTGTTATTTAGTTTGGAAAGCTCAAAAATAACTGGGAAAGTACATGTTGGCTATTAGGGTTTGAGAGGACAGAAACATAACATTTGTGAGAGTTGTCAGGGAATACTTGGTGTGTATGGAATAAGGACACAGGAGACCTGTCCACAAGCGTGACTCTTCCAGAAGCAGTCCTTGGGTTCTGAATGTCCTCTGGTATTCCTTGATTTGTACAAATTAGTAGCTATTTTTAAATTAATCTGGAAAGCCTTTGAGGCCTAATAATCTCAACAGGATCGCTTCTTGTAGGGAAAATTTTTTCACTTCACAGATGCAAAAGCATGAGTTGGGTGAATGGTTAGATCCAAGTCACATACTGAGTTGATTGTGCCAAGTTTTAGGTCTGTGTGCTACTGTTTGAAAACCCTGTGAGGGCATCTTTACTTTCAAATTAGTTTACAGCAAAGGCATTGTCACTTATGCTGTAATAGCCTGAATTCCTGTTGCCATGCACTGTGGTACATGTTAGATGCTGTATTGCATCAGTTCCTTAGTGTACTCCCAGAAGTGTCAGTGAGGTCTGTTACTGTGCTGGTGATACAGTAAAGGGTGGGTTATATTTCTTCTTCCTCTTTTCCTTTTGAGAAAGGGTCTCAAGTGAATTCTTCCAGAAGTTTAGAAAATCTGAAATGAGCAAAAGCTGTCGGTAAAAGTTTGTCAAAAGACATGTAGAAAAGTGTCAAATACCCTCTTACAATAGTATCAAAAAGGCATGGTGTTAGACACCTGTCCACAGAAGCCTGAGAAAGTATCTAGTTTGAGATCAATCTGGGAACATGGTAAGTAAGACCCTGTCACAAACAAGTGAAGACGAGAGGTGACAGGCACTCCTGCAAATGACAGACAACTTTCATGCGATCCAGCACCCCGCTTTTGGGTGTATAGAGGAGACGGTCACTGTGTGGAAGAGGTGTCTGCATTCACCTAGCCACTGCGGGTCATGTGTAATGTCTAAGCACAGAATTGGCATGTGTGACCACAAAAGGGATAGAGAAACTTGTGTATAAGCAGTAGAATATTGCTTAGTTACAAATTTAGACTGGAAGGAGGGATCGGATATTTTGAGTCTGTGTTTTTACTGTGTGACAAGTCTTTAATTCATAATCCTCCTGCCTCAGCCTATAAATGCTGGGAGTCCAGGTATATTCTATCCTACCTGGACTGTTCAGCCTTTATAAAGAATAAAGTTAGACCATTAAGAGAGCCAAGCACAGCTAGGTGGTGGTGGTGCATGCCTCTAATCCCAGCAATCGGGAGGCAGAGGCTGGGGGATCTCTGAGTTTGAGGCCAGCCTGGTCTACAGAGTGAGTTCCAGGACAGCCAGAGTTGATAACCAGAGAAACCCTGTCTCGAAAAAGAGAGAGAGAAATCAGGCACAAGAAGGAAGTATACTGTATGATATTTCTTCTATGTAGAATTCAAAAACACTGAACTTAAAGAAGAAACTGGAATTAGGCAGGAGAATCAAGAATTCAAAGCCATCCTGGAGGCATGAAACCCTGTCCTTTTTTTCCCCCCTTAAAGTACTTCTGTCATAAAGATGAGAAACTTTACGTTTGTTTTTAAGACTTATTTTTACTTATGTGTTTGTCTCTTTGAGTATATACCACATGTGTGCCATTGCCCGTGCAGGCCAGAAGAAAGTGTCAGATCCTGGAGTAGGAGTTACATGCTGTCATAAGCTGTCAGACATGGGTTCACCATGGATACTGAAAAATAAACTCAGGTGCTCTGCAAGAGCAACCAGTGTTTTTAACCACTGAACAATTTGTCCAACTGCAGGGCGGGGCCACACAGTAACAACAGAGGGCTGGAGAGATTGCCCAGTGGTTAAAAGCATTGGCTAGCTGCTTTATCTGAGGACCTGGGTTCAAATCCCAGTACCCACATGGTGGCTCACAGCCATCTATAACTTCAGTTCCAAGGGGTTTGACACCCTATTCTGGCCTCCACATGGGTGCATGCATGGGGCTCACAAATATACATGAAGAAAAACACCCATGCACATAAAGTTTTGAGAGCTGAGTGTAGTGATGCACACCTTTAATCCCACAGCTTGGGAGACAGAGGCAGGTGGATACGATACCTGAGTTTGAGGGCAGCCAGGAAGGACTACATGTCAGATACTGTTTCAGGAAACACATACAGTAGAATGGTGATTATTAGGAGCTTGTGAGAAGGGCCAGTTGTGAGATGTTATTTGAAGGATATAAAATTTTGTGTGTGCACATACATGAGCATGGAAAGGGTTATGGATAAATATACATCAGCATGCTCACTACAATTAGTATAGATTTTTAAATGTTCATCATTATGAGGTGATGGATTATGACAAATCTATTTAATTGTTCTATAGTGTATACATGTGCCAAAGATCACATTTATCCTCAAATTCATACACTAGAAAGCACAGGTGTAAAAGATTATGAAGCACTACATGCCCTTTGATCTCATTTTGTATAGCAAGTTAGAAGTGTGCTGTGTGTCCCGTGCACTGTTGAAGTGGTCTGCTGGCGCTTTAAAGAGTTGATTTTCCTAGTTTTTGCAAGTGTATGCTTACTTCAGGGTGTTTAGGGAACAGGGAGTTAGAGAAAGGGTATAGGAGAAATGGAATGATTTTAGGTACTTGCTTAGACAATATTAGATATAATTTCCCTTGGTGACCACTCAAGTACTTTACATCATTTTCTTTCTCATTTTCATGCTCCTCTTCATTTTCAGTAATGGTAGCAAGTAGCCAGACTACTCCTGCCAAAGCCCCCCGCACCAAGAGCAACCCGTCCACTTCCTCTCCATCAGCCGCAGCTTGTACTCCTAGCTGTGCTGGAGACCTCCCTCTTCCTTCGAACACCCCCACCTTCTCAGTCAAGTCCACTCCTGCCAAGACCCGGTCTCCAGTCGGCAGAAGAGGCGCCACCTCGTCGGTGTCTCCCAAGCCACTCTCCTCTTACAAGATGTCTCTTAGAAATTGGGTGACCCGAACACCTTCCTCGTCACCACCTGTCACTCCACCTGCTTCTGAGACAAAGATCTCATCTCCAAGAAAAGCCCTTATTCCTGTGAGCCAGAAGTCATCACAGGCAGGCGCTTGCTCTGAATCTAGAAATAGAGTGAAGAGGCGTCTAGATTCAAGCTGTCTGGAGGGTGTGAAGCAAAAGTGTGTGAAGAGTTGCAACTGTGTCACTGAGCTTGACGGCCAAGTGGAGAGTCTTCACTTGGATCTGTGCTGCGTTTCCAGCAACCAGGAAGCCCTTAGCAAGGACGCTGCAGGTCCTGCCAAATTAAGCAAGGTTGAAGGCACTGGTACAGCCATCTCAGAGCCTCCTTCTCCTGTCAGTCCTTATGCTTCAGAAGGCTGTGGAACCTTGCCTCTTCCTTTGCGACCTTGCGGAGAAGGGTCTGAGATGGTGGGCAAAGAGAATAGCTCCCCAGAGAATAAGAACTGGTTGTTGGCCATGGCAGCCAAACGGAAGGCTGAAAATTCATCTCCACGAAGTCCGTCATCCCAGACACCCAGTTCCAGGAGACAGAGTGGAAAGACGTCACCAGGCCCGGTAAGCCTTCAGTGTGGGAGGATGTGTGTCCCATTGGAAGGGGACTCAGATCAACTTTGACAGCCGTTAAACCCTTCATCTGCTCATTCTCCTTGGTCTTACTGCTTGATTTACCTAAGCCTTTCTTTTCTTTGTCTTCTTCTCACCATCCAGGGTGTCAGTTCAAAAATACCTCTGTCTCCTGGTAGACGGTATTTTTTTTTTTTTTTTTGGTAAAGCTGATATTCTAGGGAAAACTTGGCCAACATCCATAAGTAGATTTTCAGCTTGTATTTGCATTTTATGATCAAAATGAAGCTTAGGTATTTCAAAACAATTAAATTACAGATTCCTTAATTTTTGTGGCTTTTCCCCAAAGTTTGTGATTGTCTTGCATACACCAGTATCCTGAATACTTGTGTCTGCTCTCTTAACATTCAGCAATTCAGCGTGATGCTGCTTACCTCTTTTTAAGACTCACTTTTCATTGACTGGCATGATGTTTAAATGAGATTGTGGCAGAAATAAGGGAGCCTTGCAGAAAGTGCAAGACTTAGAATGGGGGAGATGGACGTAGCTGATCATAGAGTGAGCCATGGACACCAACAGGGATAGAGTGCTGCTGTTCTCGGGGTGCAGTTATAGGGAGGGAGGGACTTTCAACTCCACTGTGACCCACAAAGCTCTTGTTCTGAATTGAGGAAGACGGTGGGAACACATCCATAATTAGGAGCAGAAGTTAGGTGTCCTTAGGCCAGTACCAGTGAGCTGAGTGTCCTGCCCATTGAGTGTCCTTAGCCTAGCCTGTGCTTCTAGGAAAGGAATTGAGGAATATATAAAGGCTACTTAGTATGCAAGCTGAAACAAAATTTTGCTACAGAAAATGGGAAGGAAAACAAAGTTTCTTTGCCTCCTTCTCTTAAATGAAGAAGTACTCTTTGTTCCTAGCCAAAAAATTTGTCATCAGTTTAACCCCTATGACCAGGGGTGAGGTGAAAATAATTTTCACTAATAATGTAAATCTCAGAGCTTTAAGAATAGTGTGCTAATATTAATCATTTTGGGTTTTTTCCTTTTTGTTGTTTGTTTTTACATTTTATTGACTTGCAGGTTCTCGCTGTGTTCCTGCCTTAGTCCCTCAGGTGCTGAGATTATGGGAGTATGCCACCATATACAACTAATGTTTCTTTATCAGAAAAATGTTCCTTTATTGAAAAATAGTGTCAAAGTACTATCTGTGTTATCATTTTAGGGGCTGATTTGCTCAAGAGATTGGCAGGTATAACCTAGACAGTTGCTAAGATAATTTGGAACTTTAATGTGGGAAGTCTCTAACTCTCCATTTTCTTCTAGGTCACCATTACTCCCAGCTCCATGAGGAAGATCTGTACATACTTTCGTAGAAAGTCTCAAGATGACTTCTGTAGTCCTGAACACTCGACTGAATTATGATTCTAATCAAAGTTCACTGAACTTGGGTCTGCAAAGATGGATGAAAAGTGACTTTATAATTCTGGTCTTTGAGAAAATGGTCATCTTTTCATTTTGGAAAATTTAGCAGAGCTAGTCAGATCACAGTGTCTAGGGTAGACACAGCTTTCTGGGGTGAGTGCTGTTTCCGTTTCATGTGATGATTTGTCATGTGTAGCCTTTTCTAGCAGTCTGTGATAATGACACCCCGCTCATGGAACCAGAAAGCAAGATGTGCCTGCCTCCTGTTGTCCTAATCTTGTGCATAGTGGAGAGTGTCTGCAAGTCCAGCACAGGGCCCGTCGGTGGAGGCCGGTCTGCAGTCTGAGCACATCCGCTTCAGTCGTCAGAGGGCATAAGTGAAGGAGCAGGGTCTTACGTGAAATATATAATCTGTTCACTAAGCGTGTGTGTGTGTGTGTGTGTGTGTGTGTGTGTGTGTGTGTGTTTCAAACCGTATAAAATGTGATGTTCACATAAGTTCATTCATTGTTTCTGTGTTAAAATATAGTATCTTGAGTTGAAGTCGTGATTATTTTAAATACAGTGATCAGTGTCAATTGAGAAAGTAGGACAAAACAACCAGAAGTTTGTTTCTTGAAAGCTGTGGAGGACCCATGTTTTGTATGTGTGCAGGGGTGGTTTTTTGTTTGTTTGTTTGTTTTTTGTTTGTTTGTTTTGGTTTGTTTTTTTTTATTGGTTTTTCAGATTTCACAAACCAGCATCGCTCTTGCGGTAGGGTAGGGGGTTGTTGAGCACTTTCTTGAGAGAGATGCTTTATAGTCAGTAATTATACTCTGAAACCGGGACTTAACATTTAGATATATTTCTCAGTTCTCCAGGGTTTGTGACTTTTTCCTTTTTTTATATCATCATATTTTTAAGATAAAGTAATAATTTCTTACTGGTATTTTTATAAAAGACATTAGCTCTGAACTGAAAATCTAGAACCAGGGAAAATAAGCCTTGGTGTTTTTAATTTTACAAAAAGCTCTAGCTCTCTAGTAAGCAGAAAAGAAAAGAGCAGCACTTTATTTAGATGGTTAGTGCAGAGGGTGGGTCAGCTGACTAAATAGTATGCAAAGTGCTTTAACCTTTATTTCCCTTAAATGCTACGTGTTGTGGCAGTCCTCATGAAATGAGTGTCGTTATAGCCCCGTTGGAAGCCTCTTGGAAAGAAACCTTATGTTTTGGGAAGGTGTCCCCTTACAGTTAGGAAAGAGTTTTTCAAATCCCTGAGGACTGGTTAAACTTTATTTTTGTGATTTTAAATCTTTTAGTAAAAGCTTTAATTCCTTTGAGGTTGTAAGTTAAGCTTATAAAACAAGCAGGACTGGATAAGGAATAAGCATTGGTTTTCTCTGGTTTTATTCAAGAAAAATTGAAAGGAAGTCAAATTACAGTCAAAAAACCACACACATGGCAGCTTAAGCTGAGTGCTGAGGAATCTGCAGTGCTGATTGCTTGTTGGTTGTTAGGCAGCGGGGGTACTTTTAATGATACATGCCTTCCAATAATGTTGAGTACCTCTTGTTCTGAAAGCCAGTGGTGGTAGTCAGTAAAACAGGTGATTGGTGGCCACTGGGGTAAGTGGCTGTCAGAAACTGCAGACTCTGCTTGGGAAACTAGTGTCATGGTGGGTGTCAAAGGTCATGTGTAACAAAGTAGTGATTATCCCTGCCTTTTTTAGTGTCAGACTTTGAGCTGAGTCTGAATAATCAGCCCTTTATCTTGTCTGGTGCCCTTTCCCAACTGACCTAGAAGCAGTCCTCACAAAAAGGAGTGGTAATCTAGAGTCCCTTTTGCTTGTTATGGAGTAAAATATATTTGTTTACAAAGATATAATCTAATTCAAGCTGAAAGAGGTTCTAATAAATGTCTTACTCAGACTTGATGTGTAACGTGGCTTGGGTTACTTGGTGTGCTGTTTTGAATAAGAATGGCCCCATGGTCTTGTTGGAATGCTTAGTCACCAGGGAGCAGAACTGTGTGAAAGGATTAGGAGGTGTGGCCTTTTGAGGTTTCAAAAGCCCATGCCAGGCCCTTTAGGTCTCTTGGTCTGAGGATCCCAATGTAGAGCTCTAAACTACTGCTCCATCTCTGTGTGCTTTTAAGCTCCCTGCCATAATGCTAATGACCAGGCCTCTGAAGCTGTAAGCCAGCCCCCAGTTAAACACTTTGTGGTGTTCCACCACAGTGGAACAGTGACTGCAGCACTTGGTAAAGAAGCATGGAGAGAGTTCTTTGTGTAAATAGGCATTTACATCCTAAACTTTTTCATTTGAATACATTCCAAGCAGTGTGGCTATGTTGATAATTAGTTTCTTTAGACTATTTTGTTTTGATTTGGAAGACAGGGTCTCTCTGTGTAGCCTTGGTTGTCTCTCCTGGAACTCACTCTGGAGACCAGACTGGCCTGGACCTCTGAGGTAGGGTAGTCATTTTGTTTGAAATTGCAGAAAACCTTATTTTTATGTGGGGCAATATTTGAGTACATGCTAATGTAGTGGTTACTAAAGAATTCTGGGGGATAAATTCAACCTTGAAACAATTATCCAAGTGCTGGGATTAAAGGTGTGTGCTACCACCTCCCGATTTCTTTTGGCTATATCAAGGTAGTTGTGGTAGTTGTTGTAATCCAGGCAAATCTGGTCGCTGCCCCTTGGGGACTTGGCACAAATGTCAGACAGTAAGTACCCTGGTCTATACACAGGTGCAAAGGTGCCTTTAAGAGACAAGTTCCGCCTACTTCCCCTCTTCTCTTCCTGCCGTTTTTTCTGAGGAAGCAATGTTCTGTCTTCTCTCTTCCCTTCCCTAACTCCCCTACCTTCCCGCGATAAACTTTCCACATAAGTTTTGTCTGTAGGTCTCTGTCACCTGCCACAGTATCCTCCATATCATAGTTAATGTGGGCTGGACATTATCCATGACAGACTGTGGCAGGCTTTGTTGAGAAAGGTGCCAGCCCACAACCTCCTCCCTGTCCCTTATTAAAGCTGCACTAAGACTTTTCAGGACATTGTAGATAGACATATTTACTCTGTGTGTGTGCATGTGTGGCTTTATACTCATACACATGCTCAAAATTGGCCTAAGGGGCCAATGAGGTGGTTCACGGAGCCTGATAACCTGAGTCCCTCTCTCAGACCCTTCTGGTGAAAAGAGAGAGCTGGGAGATCACGTGTGTAGTCAACGTGTTTGTTGAGAGCTTATAATACACTGATGGTCTTGGGGTTGTTTTTGTGCTTTTCCCTAATCCCAAGAGAGTCAGACTTCCTTTGGAACTGCTCACAAAGCAAAGGCCAAGTAGTCTCACAGAACGGCTCTCAGATAGGCAGTGGAAATAACTTCTCCCTGAGTGTATGGGAAGGGAGCCACTGATATATATGTACTAGGAAGCTTAGGGCTCAGTGCAGGCCTTGCTGCTGCTTATTCCTCCTCACTGCTGCTCACAGGGCTTCTGAAGGCACACTACCATTGTTCTCATTAAATCTGCAGATACTGGTGAATGTTACAGGCATCTGGACACACTTTGTTGAACTGAAGTGAATTTAATGTTCCACTAACCCTAATACCAAGATTAGGGTAACCATTTTGTTTGAAATTGCAGAAAACCTTATTTTTATGTGGGGCAATATTTGAGTACATGCTAATGTAGGGGTTACTAAAGAATTCTGGGGGATAAATTCAACCTTGAAACAATTATCTGGCTGGGAGGAGGACTCTGGGTTAAATGGATTAAGTGCTTTAAGCATAAGGGTTACAGAACCCACACAATTGTTGGGTTGTTGGCAAATGCGAGCTGGGTGTGGCTGCCTGCTAGCAATCCAGGTCTAGGAAGGCTGAGACAGGGTTCCCAGAGCAGCCTGGCTAGTTAGGCTTGTCTAGTGGGAGGGTTCTGGATTAGGTGGAGAGACCCTGCCTCAAAGAATAAGGTGGAGAATGATTGAGGAAGACTGCTGATGTCACCTGCTTGCTTCTGTACATATATGTGCATATTGCATATACACATGAGAAAATGTATACATGTGTGTCCTCTACATACATACACATGCTAAAAGAAAAAGTAACAGCATGTTGTGCTCTGAGTGTTCTTGCAGCATGCATTAGTACAACCACGGACACTGTTAGTAGTAGAGGGGCTTGCCTGATTTCAAAGGTAAGCCAGGAGAGGATTTAAGGATATCAGAAATGTTCCGTCTATACCCATTTCTCTAACTTGCCACGTGTCCTTTTCTTTTTCGTATTATTTGTAATCAAGCTGTTTTGTGGACTATGAGTAGCAAGGGCACATTGCAAAATGCCTTATTGGAAGACTTCCCCTTAGCCTGCCCCTATTCGTTACCTGGGTACAAGTCCTGCGTGCAGCACCTGGTGTTCTGTTTACTTGTGGCACTTCATGAGCTCCAGATTGCACAAAGATCAGATTTCCACGTCCCTTGAGAACCTGTCTGAGTAGCTAAATGTCAAGGACCAGTCTCTTCCCTATAGGAATTGAGAATTTAGTTCCCTGCCGCCTGCAGTACATATACCGTAGACCTTGATGGTCAAGGCCGAGCAGTTAGCCTGTAGTGCTGTTGGGTTGAAAGGGCCTTCAAAGGGCAGGCCTAACCGGGTGTGGTGTTGCACACCTTCAATCCCAGCACTTGGGAGGCAGAGGCAGGAGGATCTCTGGTCTACAGAGTGAGTTCCAGGACAGCCAGGGCTACACAGAGAGACCCTGTCTCAGGGAAGAAAAGACTGAGGCAGGCCTGGTGGAAAGAAGTTAGGTGGAGGGAGCGCACCCTTGAAAGAGACATCCAGATCCCAGGCCTTTCCTGTCTTGGCTACCACTGGCCCAAAAGTGGGCCAGGTGACCATGGCTGAAACCTGAAACTAATTAAAACCTTTTCTCCTGTGAAAGTTGATTTACCGAAGTATTTTGTCCATACAGCAATAGAAAGCTAACATGCTTATCTTCTGCATGTTTTATTATGTTCTTTATAACATGATTACTTTCTAGCTTGGAATCTAAACCCTGTCTGTTGGCTCTGGTCTATTTCCTGTCTGTAAAGTGGGTTGTGTGGTTCTTAAAACTTAAAATGGTGCCTAGTACATAAAAAGCAAACATTTATTGAACAGTTGCTATCAGCCATTATTCTCAAGAGGCAAGGAGGGCAAGAATGATTTTCCCCTCTGATGGACACAGTGCTTGAGTGGCAGTCCTGTTTCCTGAGGTTGCCGTCTGTGAAGGTGTGAGTACGAAGGCAGAATCAGCTGGAAGCTTGTCTGGGACTCAGCAACCCCACACTGATGAAAGACATGCTCACATAAAGATTCCAGAGATGACTTCATATGCTGCCTGCAGCCACAGTTGAAAGAGTTAGCTATAAACCACAGATCTCTATCAGGGAGCAGCTGAAGCCCCAGGCTGCTCACGCTCATGGTCTCTTTCCTGACTGCCTTCAGCTCCAGGAAGCAGCAGAGTGGCCCTGCAGAGCTGGCTCCCTCCTCTAGTTCTGTTGTGAGCTTGGCAGTGAATAGTAAAGTAAGGGAATAGAGAGCACCTACTGCATTCCATACAGAAAACTGACATGCTGGCTGCAAAAGGTTAGACTGCTTTGCTCCCACGATGGTGTCCTTCCCCAGGCTGCTTCTGGTGCCAGTCGGGTTTATTGTCTCATGGGTGCCAAAGTACTATCCATGACAAATGTAATGCTGTGGTTCTACCTAGCTTCTGCATTCCGCACCCATACTGCCAATGTACTCAAGGTGCTGGTTTCCAGCTTACAGGCACATGCAGAATGTGAGGTGCTGGTTTCCAGTTTACAGGTGAGTGCAGAATGTGCCGTCCTTGTTTTCCAACAGTCTTGCCCCTGAACCCCTTCCAGGGTCTAAGGTCTAAAGATCGTTCTTCAGAGCAGCCCTCTCCTCTAGTATCATACCAGGTAATTCCTGGGGATGAAACTGCCTCAGGCCTTGCTGTTGACATGGAGTTAGCAAATGTATGATGTCACTGATGGTCATTTAGAGCCGTGCTTAATTTTATTTCTCCCTGCCTCCTCCAAAATGCACAAACACAATTTTCCAAGGATTATTTAAAGTTCTCATCCTTCCTTATTCTCTGCATTGCTCGGGATTGACGGATGCAGTGCCTTGTACATGCCACTGAGCTACACCTCCAGCACTTCCAAGAATTACTGATTAGCAACATAATAGGATTTATAATAGCTTCCCAGCGATTCAGATACTGAAAAGTGGTGTGGGCCTTGGTGTACCTGTGATGTGTCCAGTGGGAAACAGTGCTTCCAAGAAAGCCTTGGATTCGCAGACCCTATTTGTATTCCCTTACGCAACAGGAGCCTCAGTTACAGGCTCTGCTTCCCTCCAGCCTCCAACTTAGCAATGACATTCCTGTATGACTGTAATTTGGTTGCTCACCCGGGTTGTCCTCTTTGGATAAAAAGCTAGGAGCTTGCTAGTTGGTGCACACCTTTAATCACAGCACAGGCTAAGGCTGTTACACAGAGAACCATGTCTTGAAAAAGGGCGGGTGGAGAGATGGCTCAGTGGTTAGCACTAGCTGTTCTTCCAGAGGACTTGGGTTCAATTCCCAGTACCCACCTAGCGGCTCACAACTCTGACTTCTGTTCCAGGGGATTCAACATCACACAGACACATGCAGGCAGGATACCAGTGTACATAAAAATATTGGGGGAAAAACCCACCAGGAGCCAAGGAAAATGAGTGATTATTATCATTCTCCTGAATCTCACAGAAGCCAAGGGCCAAAGCCAAGAGGAACTTGCTTCAGGGCAGTGTTGACACTGGAGTATCAAATGAGATTCAGTTATCTAAGGAGACTTTGCTCTTTCTTGACCTTAATAGTGACCTTGCTTCTTGCTAGGTG